CCGGAGGTTTCTTCCTGTTAAAAGGGAGTTTTTCCTTCCCACTGTCGCCAAAGTGCTTGCTCATAGGGGGTCATATGATTGTTGGGTTTCTCTGTATCTATGAAGCGCCTTGAGGCGACTTATGTTGTGATTTGGCGCTATATAAATAAAATTGAATTGAATCTCTGGCAGTTCATCTACCTTTCTTCCTTCATTTCTTTCCTCTTGCCTCCTTCGGGACCTATTTTTTTTTCTTTCTCTGGTCATCATTCGTACCTTTGCAGATTATATATTTAACAAAAGACATTACAATTCTGATTGGAAAAAGGAAAAATAAAAATCACTCACACACACTAGATATGATTCTCATAAAATCTTTAATGGAGGTGATAACATGCAAATAAAAATAAAAAAAAAAGAATAATAAAATGAATTATTTAGGAACGCTACTATAAAAAGAAACGAGAGGCCTTTTTAGCAATGCACCCGTTGGTGACCATCGCACCTTCTTAATAACTGAGCCATACAGGTAACAACTGAGATGTGACAATGTGCTGGAGGATAAACAGGGAAGCATCCCCAGTGTGGGAAAAGTGGCTGTTAGTTTTGTCCCCATTCCCAACATTTCAGGATCCATGTAACTGGCGCGTCGCCACCGGAAGGCATTCATGAGTTTGTTGCCGGGGTGCAGTGAGAGTTTGTGCTCTGTTGGCATCTAGAAATGTGATGCAGCATTTATTCAAGACTGTGTGAAGCTACATAACAAAGAACAGTGAGCAGAAGAAAAACCGTTACCAAGCATCCTTATTCGAGACAGCCACCATTGGGAAAATACTGATACCTGCGATAAAATGATTGCTGGCATTCAAGTCATTCATTTCATGGGTTACTTCTTGAATTTAAGATCAAACCATTAATTCTGTTAAAATGTTCATTTAGAAAGCCATGTTTTACAAAATAATGAGCATGCTGGTGCAAAATTATGTTGACCTCTTTAAACATTACAGGAAAAAAAAAAACTTGATACATGTATTAGAGGATATGCATACCTTAAAAAATGCAAAAGTAAAAAGAATTTAAAAAAAAAATACTGTGAGAAACTGTGAGAACTTTATCAGGCACTCTGATACATCACTCTTTATCTCACGCTTTAATAAGACTGTACATTTTGTGCATTTCATTACCAAGTCAAACAAGGTACTTATCAAAGTCGACCACCATGGATGATGTTTTTCTTTAAAAAAAAAAAAAAAAAAAAAAAAAAAAATTTAAAAAAAACTTTAAAAAGAAAAAAAAGAAAAAGAAAAAAAAAAGCGCATACACCTCACATGTAGCGGAAAAACGCACAAAAAAAACAAAAAACCAAATCCTTTTCTCCTATTTGAACAGCAATGAAAAAAAGCTTAAGGCAAGATGCTGAACACAAAAATCCAATAGTTGATCTGGACTGATCTTTGTTCAGCTCTGGTGTTTGTTGGCATTTACCAGTTCCATCAGTAATCATCAAGAAGACTAGTGTTTTTTCCCCCCGATAGTTGGCTCTCTGTCTCAGGCGTCTTTTACTACAGGTCATGAGAATCCATGACTTCCTCTCCACACCTCCTGAGTCTGCTCGGAGTCGCCGTCTCCTTCCATGCTTTTTTACGCTGGCAGGCTCAGCTTCTTGCCTTTCAACACTGAGGGTTATAAAGTTAGACAGTCATCAGGTGAGAGCCATCTTTATTCCTGCAGCCACACGTTATTTATTCCACTATGCACTGACACTACACATGTAAGATCACTTAAAAGTGGACCATTCCTCAGTCTGTGTTCCCTCTTTGTGGCTCAAAGGCTTTGGGAAAGCTGTCTTTTAAAGATGAACCGATCACTAATGCTACAAATTAAACATTAATTTTAAAAGGAATCATTTTCATTTCCAGCAACTCTCTCTTTTGCATTCAAACAGTGTGACGTTACCTGATACAAGCTTTCATGTTAAAAAGGTTAATTGATCATTAGAAAAATCCTTTAAACAGCAAACAGAAAGATGTGTGAGCCCCCATTGTACGGGAGCAAAAGGACAAGTACATCCAAGTGTGTAGTTTTGTGCAGCAGTCACATTTGATGAATACAAGCGTGAGTTTTCAGGAAAAGCCAGAGATTTTCTGGGTGACGTCAAGCTTGTTCACAGCAGTTAAGAACGCCCTCTGGCTCTTTTGAGTTAAACTGTTCCAAGAACTATGTCCCCCGAGCAGAGAATAAAAGTTCCTCTGACGTGTTGATGAATGAAAAACACATATTTCTCATGTTCAATCCACTTGCTAATCATTTTTTATATGGATGCCTTAAATGAGAGCCCTGGTTTATTTCTGGGAAAGGACACAAACCCAGGGGGTCACAAGCTATGGGACGAGCCTGATTAAATGAGATTGGGATTGCGTCAGGAAAGGCATCCAATGTGCCAAATCAAACATGCGGATCCATCAGCTGTGATGACCTTTTAAAAAGGTCAAAAATAAGGGAGCAACTGAAAGTTCCAGATGAGGATGATAAAAAAAATCATCCAAAGTTGCCCCAATCAACAAGCTACAACTAACAACCAACAAAATGAGATCCATTTAAAAAAGGAACTTAAAAAATATCAACTAAGTTGAGTTAAAATGTAACAAACTTACAAAAAACATCAAATTTGAGTTTTAAAGATCTCTGTAGTGACAAACGAGTGTCTCCACAGATGCAGCAGTTTTCTCTAATAACGCTGTTTAAACAGTGAATTGGTGTTAATGGCTCTGAAAGCCCTTTGACAGACTGGCGAGCTGCTCGGGCTGTATCCTGCCTTTTGATTTGTGCCAGCTGGGATTTGCTCCAGCATGGGTGGGTTTTCAAAGCACTATAATTTGGCTTTGTAAAATAGAAAGAATATTAAATAATAATAAAATACAAGTTCAGTTGACGCTAACAACCATCAAACCAGCTGGGAATTTCCAAATCATTGCACAACATCTCCTTTATGCCTTTCCCGGGACACTCGATTTACAGTAAGATAAGGAGGGAATTTTGTCTTAAACAGCCATAACTTTGGAGAATTTTCTTTCAGGAAACTTGCGCTGCTGAAACGTCAGATTAGCGTAGCCTGAACTCTAGGATGAGGGTTTTCCAGGGAACAAGACACTGGATGTTTACACTCATCCCTTTCATCAAATTTAAGGAATGATTTCAGGGCCAGCGAGGGCACGAAGAGCAACTACATCAACTAAAGTGTCCCCACATATTTCACGTCTATATAAATAATAACAAATTAGCCAATATCTGAATAATATCGATGCTTAAACCCACCTTTGGTGACATAAAGATAGAAGAAGTCACAGTAGAGGACAGTCTGGACCACACCAGCCACTATGGCAATCATGTCAAAGAAGCCCTCAAAGTAGAAACGCCAGATCCAGTTGAAGAGGTAAAGGGCCCGATACAGCCCCAGGCAGAACAGGTAGTGGGTGGTGATCGTCTCAGCCTCCCCGGTCTTGCTGATCATGAAGAGCTGAGGCAGAATTGCCACCGACTCCAGGTAGATGGAGAACGTCCACAGGATCTGCAGAAGACATTTACATATTCAGGAACACAATTTTCCATTTACTCCCAAAATGTCTGGTTTGGAATAGATCATGTGCCTCACAATTTGACTGCGATACAGCAGTTTGAACTCACCTCCAGGGGAGAGAAGTCATGGTTAATGAGAACAGAAAGACCCCCGACAGGAACCACCAGGAACTCCACTCTGAAACTGTCGTGGTTTCCATCGTAGGTGGCCCTGAACTTCGCGTAGATTAGGTATACGGTGGCATATGCGCAACCGATGTAGATCAGCTGGTAAACAGCAAAGAACAGCCTGTCACTGAAGTGTTCTGGGAGAAATGGTGAAACCTATGTGAGGGTCAGGGCTGTGTGGTTGGCGGTGTCTTACCTTCATGCATGTGTTATACAGGGAGATGAAAGAGGTGAACAGATCCAAGTAACGTGTGGTGAACACAAGAGCAAACAGAATTTGGCTCTTTCCAGAGATGCCTTTAAGAAAAATATCAAGCAGAAACACAGTTTAGGCTGACATATACCTCAGCAGTTCACACAAAGCTTCACAAACAGCCTGGGCAAAACAAATCATGTTTTTTCTTTATTGAACAGTGACATCTGCTGGAAAAAAGATGAAACTCCGAAGTCTCAAGAGTTCAAAAAACAAGACCGTTTCTTTTCGTTTGGATTCATTTTAAAGGGTTAATGGAATAATGAGTGATGTCAGCCTGTCCTGATTTACCCATAGGACAGTTTTTCCCACGTATTCCAAATACATGGAGATTCGATTTTTTTTTTTTTTTAAGTGGCTGTGAATTGTCCATATCTGTGAGCATGAGTAAAACTGTTATCAGACTTCATGTCCTGTCCACATGATGCAAGAACATGATGCACCACCTCAAAACCACAATCAGGTCCTAATTCTCCAGGAATCTCAACTAGTGTTTGCTCGACATTCTTCCTGATAAACATCGGGGGTTTTCAGCAAGTGCCATCTTCACTCTCTGTGGCATGTTTGAGTTTGGCCTGTTCGGTGTGTCTTTTTGGAATCGATAATCAATCTTTCCTGAACAATGTCAAATGTTTTGATCCATGTTCTTTATATTCTTAACTGATATCACACTTTTTAGGGGTATTTTGGGTCGGTCATCGTGTGCCCTGATTTACTGGTGGCAGTGGTAAGAGACAGGCAACGTGGGGAAATAAATAAAAATAAATAAATAATAGGAGACACTCTTTATAAACAGACGTGTTTTTTCAACCAGTTTCTACCAAGCAGACAATATTCAAAATTATTGGTCATTAAAATCAATGACCTCAGATCAGAGGATGTTATATGTTAAGAGTGTATATTCAGAAAAAAAGCGAATTTTTTGTATGTTCATTGTATGTTGATGTCAGGCTGAGTGCATATTCATTGTCTTTCAATTTTTATGACAGACCAGTTCAATTAACAGCCTCTCAGATTCACTTTGAGTAATCTCTTCCTCAACACAAGTTAGATTTTCCCTTGGTTTCGTTTTATTGGGGATCTCCATAAGGAGTCGTGTAAGTGACTGTTAAGACCTATACGTTTTAATAAATCAATCAATATTTTAAACTTCCAGTACCTCCAGATTTAACACAAAGCTACATATTCTTCAGGTTTTAGCTTTTCACCCAAAACGCATGCGTCAACTTTTTTAATCAATCACAAATCTTTATCGAAAGTGGGACACAAAACCGCCCCCTTCTATGACTTATCTAGGACTTTAGATAATCATAGACTGCATCACTGCTGCCTATGTTGTTAGTTATTATTATTAATGCCTAAATTTGTATGTGAGTCTATAAGCTTAAAATGCATTTTTAAATAAGTAAAACTTTGTACAAACTCTTTTTAGCAGGTATCTACTTCCGTAGCGCTTTCTAGAACGCCACGTCAGAAGCCAGACCCAAAAAATCGAGCCCCTCACACTTAAACAGTCAAACTATCCGAGCAGGAGTAAATGGATGTGAGGTGGAGGGGGTGGTGCTGAAACGTAGAAGCAGAAACCGCAAAAAGTTATTCTAAATATATTTGTTAAAGGTTCCATTAATGTGCTTAATTGTCCAGTAAGCAGTAGGAACCCAACTGACCGCACTCAATCCACAGATCGGAGAACGATTAACGTACAAAAGGAATTCCTTCAAAGTCAACCGTTACTTTGATGTGTCTGCGTTATATTTTCCACCAACTTTAATATTTCACTGTCTAACTGCAGCAAACTTAGTAGTAGCTTGTGATGGAGATGCAGGCAGCACTTTTTAGCTGCCATCATCAGTTAGCCCATTCAGCAGCTATTAGCCGCTGCTTCAAATGAATGAAGAGGAAACGTTAGCATTGCTAGGTAGGTAGCTTAGAGGTTGCTGCCTTAAAAGATCAGATTTTTTATCGATTAACACAAGTGAAACGGAACTAGTAACATTAGAAAACCTCACTGTAGCATTTATATTAAAGCTATATCCGGTGCTCACCTGCACACGACCTGCTTTTCCATATTTTGAGTAGCAGGATGATGATAGCAGCCAGATGAGAAAGATCTCCTGTGAGCCTGAAGATGTTCATAGCTGCGAAAAGAAAAATAACAGAGACACAGCTGAGAAGCTAACGTGGACTTTGAAACGGGTCACGCTTGATCCTGCCTGGTGTGAAGGATTCTTCTGCTCAACTTGGAGGCACAACACACCGGGATTCACGGGCTTGAAAATATGGCGAGAGTGCAGGTCGACGTGGAAGGGGGCGGGACAAAACACATAGACAGATTTGCATTGGACCAGAGAATGAGTGACAGCAGGAGAGGACCCGCCCACAACAAGCACGACGCTGAGAACATGAGCCCTGGTTGAATGAGGAGGGTCATCACAGACTTGTAAACCCCATAAACCTAATAACTGGCTGTGCCATCCTTGGCAGCAAGAACTGGCTGTTGATATGATTTTCTTTTTATGAAATGCTCTCATCAAAATGTTTTTTCTGGCATATGTAAGATCAGGCTTTGTGATCTTTTTAGTCATCACTGGTTTTCTCCTCCCATGGAGGCCATTTTTGCCTGGTCTCTTTCCTATTGTTGAAGCATGAACGCTGACCTTAACTGAGCCAAATGAAGCCTTCGGTTCCTTAGATGTCATTCTGGATTCTTTTGTAACCTTGTGAATTAGTCCTCAATGCTCTTTTGGAGTAATTTTGGCTCACAGGGCACTCCTGGTAAGCTCACCAGTGTTCCAAGTTTTCTCCATTTGTTAATAACGGTCCTCACCGGGTGGTTCACTGGAGCCCCAAAGCCTCAGAAACGTTTTTTTTTTAAAACTCTTTCCAGACTGATAGATGTCTATGACTGTTCCTCACCTGTTCTTAAATTTCTTTAGATTGGGGCATGATGTGCTGGCTTTTTCGGATATTTCTACCCCACTTTACTGTGCCAGATATGAATTTCTTGAGTCAGCAGGTCTGGCAATTGTCAGGCCAAAAATATGGTTAATCACAGTTAAGTAATGATTTACAAGAGGGTGGAGGGAAGTGGCATGAGTGTCTGGCAGTACTTGCTGTCAAATTGGTCACAACCTCATAATTAGGTTAGCAGGGCAATTTCTTAGGCAGGGCTGAGTAGGTTTGGATAATAGATAAATGAAAAGAATCATTTAAAAACGTAATTCTGTTTTTACTGAGGTTGTGTTTGATTATTATGAAACGTGAAATGTGACAAATATGCAAAAAAGCTAAGAAGTCAGGAATGTGGTAAATCCTCTTTCAAGGCAGTGTAGATGCATAAATAACAAAATGTGGGCAAAATAAAATCAGCGAAAACAAAATTCATAGAATTTACTCTCTTGTGTGAGCACGATTGCTTCATACATATTTCTCCAAAACTACACATTCAGCTTTATTGACTTGCACTGAGTTATTTACTTTCCGCATAACCTTGCATGATATTATTACTGCCGGAGTCCTGTCACCAAATCTCTACACATTCTCAATAATTCAAAGTTATTGTTCTACCGTTCCTAGATTGCGCCATCATGTGTGCACAGCATGAGTTGACATTTGTGTCTACACGCAAAAATGTTGCCCATGTTGGGTAATAAGGGGTGACGGGGCTATTTGTGATTCCCCATCGCCAGTGACACCAAACCTCGCAATCCTTCATTTAAGAGCGTGAAATTGAGAGTTAAATGTACTTACACTTTAAACAGTAAATACTAGTTGTACAGTAGTTCATAATATCATGTTACCATAAACACAATAAACGCTTTGAATATATACAAATCCATTAATTGTACTGTAAAGCTGCACAATACAGGAAAATAAGAAGGAACTAGTAGACTTGAGGAAGTTCAGTCTACCACTTCCCATGTTGTCAGCCATTTAAAAAAAAAACGGCTGATACAAGGAATCATGAGATCATTCAGTGTCTTTCAAGCCGCAGACATGGACCGGTTGTTTTGGCTGTCTCTCCTGCTCGCCCACCTGTTGGTCACAGGTAAGATCATTTTCATATCTTTGCCGTCTGTAAATAATTCCTCTAGGAAATATATGTAAAAGGCTGGGTGTGATTCATATTGATTCTCTTTTGCCTGTTTATTGCAGCTGGCGAGGATACATGTCATGTCAACATATCGCAGTCAAACAACATAATCTGGAAGAAAATAGGGGAAGAAGCTGTTTTCAATTGTACAGTTATTTCCAAGTGTTCAGTAGAATTTTACTGGTTCAAAGAGAATGTCTCTCTACCGCTTCATATGAGTAAAAAGTACCAAGGAGAAGCGTCTTTTCAAATTAATTCACTTAAAGCGAGTGACAGCGGGATGTACTTCTGTGCCGCAGCAACTCAGAATGGGTGCTGCACACCGTTTGTAGGGGAGGGAGCAACTCTTGTAGTGAGAGGTAAGGACTGTTTAGAGAGAAAACTCATTTTACAGTCATTAAAATGAAGACGACGCCTTCACTTTCTTTCTTTTTTTTAGAAAATACTAAAACAGTGATGGGAAAAATCGTGTCGGTATCATTTGTCCTCTTGGCCGTCTACAGCTTGGCTATAGTGACGCTCATCATTCTAAAGAAGGTGAATCACAGACACATTTATTTTAATGTGATCTATTGTGCAAGCCGGACTGAAAGTCAGTTTGTGCTCACGTGAAATTAACCTTTCTCTTTCTGTTCTAGTATGGCTGCAATATGAACATCTGCAGAAAGACATCCAAAAACGACAAGGTCTCTCTCTTCTGTTTTAACTCATGTTTGATGAATCCATTGTTTTCAAAATAGGGAAAAGCCCACAGATGCAAAAAAAAAAAAAAAAAAAAAGAGGAACAGGAACGAACTAAACCCTCTGTAAATACCAAGGCAGAAAAAAAATCCTAACCCCCCCTCCAAAAGAAGGGCTTTATAATAGATTTTTACTCATCTTTTCCCTTATAGAAAAACGCAAATAAAAAAGTACAGTTCCAGGACGTGCTGAAAGAAATGCACAAGAAGAGAAACATGGAGAAAAACAATCAAACAGCAAGCAGAAGCTCTTCTGAAGTTGAGGTAAATGTTGTTGTTGCAGCATGTTGAGGTTAGATTTAGTCAAATAGACAGATTGTGTAACTTCTGCCGCAGGATGTCTGTACAAAATTCAATTTAACTGTTTTTGACCAAGTTTTAATATCGTTTCAGCCCTCGAGCAACGACCTGCAGCATTCTTCTGATGACATCTATCAAAATGTCTAAGCTTCATTCAATGAATTGATGAATTCAGACCTCCATCATCTTGACGGAAAGGAAATTGTAAAGCCATTAAACACCAGCTGGATGATGCTGTTGAGTCTGAGGAAACAAGCAAGTCTGCAAAGGATGCAAGTCATTTGTGCTTCTTATCTTTTCTCATGACATGAGACATAAAAACTACAAAACCAGTGTGGACCAGGCGACTATTTCCTCTCTAAACGTCAAGGCTCTTACACAACCCGCCTCTCACAAAGCATTCGAAGTTGTGTTGGTCTCCACCGCGCTTCCACAGCTTCCTTGTTGCTCATAACAACTTTTTCCAAGGATTTTATTTTCAGGACTTTCTGCAACACAAAAGGGGGATAATTAGACGATCCACATTAGAGGAATTACATCTGAATTTCACTTCTACAAAAAGCAAAATGTTACACCTTTTATTGCACGAATCATTAATCACGACGATTACTGGCAGTGAACTGACATGAAATGATAAAGCCATTTCTCATTAAAGGGGTCATGGCACTTTTTTGATAGCGCTTAATCTTTGTTATATTATTGACCAAGAATTTCTTTAAAACATTCTTAAAATCTAATCAAAAACATAAATGTACCACGGATAGATTTTTTTACCATTTTTAATTAGAAACAACACATTTATAGAATCTGATACCAAAACATAGAACAAGATACAGGACATGTCTGTATGTCAAATACAGCTTATGTTATCATAGGAAAAGAGAGGGCCTTGTTTCTCTTTAGAGAAATCACAGTAAACTTATTAGAAATTCACATTAAGGCAGTGTTTAGCATTCTGAGCCAGTTGTGAAGCATATCCCATCCCCTAAATCTCAATACATTTTACATTATAATGTCCATTCATACACTGGATTATAATCCTTAGATTAGTTTTCACCATTTACAGCCTTTATTCAAAGTCTGCATAAACTGCCCCGTTTGGGCTTCTCTCTACTGTAAACTATCAAATACAGGTGATGCGAGCCACTTGAATCATGTTTTGTTTTTTTAATCTGCATGGAGGTTATTAACCATCAGGTTTGTGACACTAACTGTCTTTTTCATCGGGTAAAATAAGGCATTTCATTAACTGGCAAAATGAAATTTTTTGTTCTTGATGAATACCTTTCATTGATCATCACTGTTGATGCCAGAGCTTGTGAGACCTGAGTTTAAGTGACAATAATTTCTGATGTTATGTGGCCACTTTATGCGTCTGCATCTGTGAAAAGCTAAATGGAGTGTTTTTACCTTTCTCTCCCTCTCCATTATATAGATGATATATAAAAGCATCATAAACAGACAAAAAAAATGAAACAAAATATTTTTTGTGTACAAAATGATCAAAAAAAATCAAAGTCGACACTTAAATGATAGTCTTCAAGAAATAACCACATGACAAGTTTTTTGTTCCAGAGATGCGAAGCTGTTAACTAAATACTTTTCTTCAAGTAGATGCTTGAGTTTGTGTTTCAGTTGACTCTTTAAGGATCGAGAATGTCTCGACTATTTGTTCTCATTGCTAAAGCAGCGATTTAACATCCAACTTCAATGTTTGCATGAGTAAAGTTCCTTTAGTTAAGTTCATTGTTTACTCAGAACCTTTTGGCCTTCCAAACACCTTATAATGTAGGATGCTGATAAGTGTAGCTGAACAGTTGGTGGGATTCTGTCATAAAAATATATCTCACAAACTAATTATAAACTAACAAACTATTATAATGCTGAATTTGTGCCCCACCCAACCCAACAACCAGTAAATGTTTAAGAATGGGAAGTAAAATACCACTTTTAAATCAAAGTAAGTGGGATAAAATCTAGATATATTTGCACCCAGATGAAAATTGCCATTTAAAACATTTACTTTTTTCCACTTCAAATATTTAAAGCCCCTTGATTTGTTTGATTTTAAGGTACTTGATGATTTACAGTTGTTCCCTGTTAAAATTTCAATATATTCACTCATTTAAATATACAAAAATACTCATTTTAAATTATTCATTTACAGATCCCAACTACAGGCAATTAAGCCAGGTTCTTTGAATACCGAGAATACTGATATTAGCCATCAATATACTTTGTGTCAACTGTGTGACTGTTGCGAATGGAAAACGGCCTCCAAGCCAGGACTTGCAGAGCAGCGACACACATGGGCACCAAGCAAACCAAGTAGAACATGGCTCTGTGGAGGCTCTCCAAGGCACTAAAAACAAGGACAAACAAAGTGTTGGTGTAGTTACATTTATTTACAGTTGAATCATCCTGACTGTCACAATGCTAATTACGGAAACTGCAAAAGCATGCCTGTGCATGTTGACTGTGACTCGTTTAAATGGTGTAAAGAGGAATCAGTGGACGTACAAAACCATAAAGATCTAAGATATTTCAAGAGTCAGTTTATGTGCAAGGAATCGCTGTGAGCCAAAAGCACTCTTCAGATTCCTCTAAACAGTTAATGACAAGGTCTTGGCTCTGAACGATGTCAATGAGAAACACTATCCCTAATATGGCCAATCGTGCTCATGGCTATGAGCACAATTTAACCACCCACTGGTTAAATGTTATGTTTACGAGGGTTGCCACTTAGAAGAAAGGTGGTCTAAAGGGAGCTTATTTTTATTTTCACGCAGTGGATCAAGTGAGGGCCTGCGATAAGATATAACAATTAATTGAAACTGTGACACATACAAATCCACTGTAGGAGAGCCCAAGAAAAAAAAACATTGTAGATGGAAAACAAATGTTTCAGTGGTTCAGATTTTAGAAAATTATATAAACAGTGACCTTAGAAAAAAAAAGGCCAAATCAGAGAGGCTGTCTCTTGAAACTGGTGTTTATTCAGTTGACTATAAAGTCGATTTTCTGCATAATAAAACTAAATAGCAACCATAGAAAAAAAATGTTGTTCTCCTTCAAATTAAATGTGCCTCTATTTAGATTATCTGACATGATAAGGGATCACAGTGGTGGATTTTTGGTGGTTTATTTTACTACTTTACAGTTTTAACTTTTTAGATTAGCTTCTTATTCTGCATTTGTTTAAAATCTAAAACACACTTTAAATCCATCAGTGTCATTACAGTTTATTGGTCAACGTTAGATTGTTGTTACATGGTGCTATTGTTTTATACAGGATGGATTATCTACATTTCAATAGAAAAACGGGTTATTTATACTATAATGGGATAAACGGCCCCAGGCTTAAAGCTGAATAGTAACTGAACGCTTTGGAAAACGTACTACATTAAACATAGGTATCAGCAGCTGCAGCAACTAAGGCCCTCTTATTTTTTCCTCAGGTTTTTAGTGTTTACTGTACAGCAAGTTATGACACAAAGTATTAACAGACAGACTTAGGACACATGTCATAGATTTATGGGTATAATCCTAAAACCAGCTCCAAAAACATTTGCGCCCATTAAGTCAACAAGTAGCAAGAAACTCTCTGTACCTCGGATCTGAATCCTTTGTGACATCCTTCAGCTGTTCGTACCCAAAGTGGTTCAGGATATTTAACACTATCATAGGAGCCAGAGACTGAGCTGGCTTTGTGAACAGTGCATTTGTTCCAAACACCATGGAAGAGAGAGGGGAACTACAGGAGGCGAGGAAGAGAAGAAAACGCATCATCACACATTAAATCATAAACTTGTTTCATTGTGTGTTAGTACACAGATTTGTGAGTGCTTAAATGAAATAATGTTGCATATTTTCCTAGTTTATGTAGTAAAATCACGAGGTTTTAAAACAATGCTGTAGCAGCCAGAGTTAATGAAGTGGTTTATATTTGAATCTGAGGAATGACTGAATTAGTCATTTGTGCTGACGTTCATATTTATAGTCATGATAGTGACACAAGTCAAGGGGATGGCAGGGTTATACTAATAATACTAATAATATTCCCATCAAACTCAGCTGTTCTTTGTTACATATAACTGACAGAAATAGTGCACAAGGTAAATGTCTCGGCTGATTAAAATTTTGGCTTTGTCGGTATGACATAAAGGACAGTGGTGTCCAAACTGTCGACTGTGTTTCTTACCTGCGCTTGTATTTCTGCAGGTCAGTGTCAATAATGTCAGCCAAAGGCAACCCAAAAAGACTGAAGGAGGCCTGAATTATAACCCTGTATAAAACATAGAAACCGAAAAAAAATAAAATCAATGCAGTATAGTAAAAGAAAAAAAATCATTTTACATATCAAGACAAACAAGCCCAGCAGTAACTTCTTACATGTTAATGGTGAGGAAAAATGCCATGAAATAGTAGTGCTGAGGACCAATTGCTAGCATGACAGCTGCCATTCCAGCCTCCACATAGAAGATGAAGAGGATGATCCTGTAGTAGCCATGCCTATGCAGCAGACTCTGAGAGCTCAGCACTAAAAGCTAAAATGAGGACAGTCAGGAACAAGACATTGGGTTAGGCAAAGCAGATGATTAAAAAGCTGCAAGTATTTTAAAACCCTTTCCTTTTCGGTGCTTTCAGGTGTTTATTTAGACCTCTGACATTTGAGCAAGGTGGAGAGTTGGCAGCCGAATAGCTCTATTTATGAACTATGTGGTAAACGAATATAAATAAATGGTTTTAAGTAGTTATTGCAAATATTTCTGCCCAAAATACTACAAAAACTGTCCATTTAACATTGTCTATATCCCCTGTATTTCAACCTTGTTCCAAATTGAGAACTGAAAACTGGCACCGCCTGAGTACGGATTTCAAATTTTCCAAGCTTACCAATTCCTTTATCAGTGCAGTCAGCAGTAAATATCAACTGAAAATGATCTTTGTACCTCACTGTTCAGGACCTGTGACTGTAATGGACTAAAGCAATCAGTGTGGTATTTTAAAGCATTTATTCTAATCTTTATGGGGAAAAAAACTAAAACACTAACACTGTGGGACGATACCTGTGGACAGATGAATGCTGCTCCATACATGATGCTCTTTGCCAATGATGGAAGCACATCTGGAGGAATCAGGTGCTCAGTAAATATCATG